CTATGAATAACAATGGTTGGCATTTGACAGCTCCAGTGATCGACAAAGAAAAGCTATATCATAAGTTAAAGTCTCTGGATACTCGAAAGGGTGCTGGCCCGGACGGCATTCCCCCATATTTGTATCAAGGTGTGCCTCCGTTCTGTTATCACCACTTTTCCTAATTTATAATCACTCTATTAATACGGGTGTTTTCCCTGACGCTTGGAAACGAGCAAAGGTCGTACCAGTACATAAAAGTGATGACCGGATAACATTACCAACTACAGGCCTATCTCAATTCTGTCCCTTGCTAAGGTTTTTGAGTCTTTGATTTGTCCCTACATCCAGTCACACTTCAAACTGTATCTGAGTGAAGATCAACACGGATTTGTGGGTTCAAGGTCTACCTGCACAAATCTGGTGTCTTTTACAGAAACGCTAGTAGAAGCAGTTGACCGTAGTGGACAGGTTGATGTGATCTACACGGATTTTAGCAAGGCTTTTGACAGTGTCTCGCACAGTATACTATTACATAAACTGTCGGCGTATGGAATAACAGGCAATCTATATAATTGGATTAAATCATACCTGACGAAGCGAGAATTTTTTGTTGCAGTTAATGGTTTTAGATCGCGAAAGTACGATATCACCTCAGGAGTTCCACAGGGCTCACATTTGGGCCCAATTCTTTCAACATATTTATTAACGACATCCCTCATCACTTGCAGTACTCCGAATGCTATATGTATGCAGACGACCTCAAATTTTGTAGGTCAATTAATTCAATTAATGATACAGCATTACTTCAGAAAGATGTAGATTCACTTGTTCAATGGTGCAAGCAAAATAACATGAATTTAAATATAAAGAAATGCTATCATGTAAAATATTCCCGAAATAAAAAGAACATTATACCATCTGCTTACTGCATGAATAGTACGATTGTCCAGGAGGTAACCAGATAAGGGATCTTGGAGTTTTGTTTGACAGCGAACTGACATTTGTGCCTCACATCGAGAACATAACCAAAAGGCTTCTAAAATGCTAGGATTTGTTATGAGGAACGTCAAATTATTCAGGCACAGTCGTACAAAGATTCTGCTGTATAATTGCATTGTCCGTAGTATTCTGGAATATTGTGGACCTGTATGGAGACCACACTACGCCGCACACAGTTTGAGGATGGAGCGCATTCAGAAGAGATTCTTGTGGCATTTGGCATATTCATCGGGAGTGGCTAAAAGAGAAGTTCGGTATGAGGAAAGACTTTCACTCTTTGGTATGATGTCGTTGGAGAAGCGAAGGGATATTAGCGATGCAACACTCTTATTCAAAATACTCCGGAACAAAATTGACTGTCCTCGATTACTAAATAAAATATCAATTCGAGTTCCCGCCAGGTATCCTCGAGCTCCCGTGAGTCTATTATATCCCCCCCTTCGAAGAACCGTGCTGGGTGCAAATTCTGCTGTTTCGCGAATGTGCAAGTTGGTAAATAGTTGCGGGGATCTAGATGTGCTTTCAGACTCATTTGGCAAGTTCCGCAAATTATTGACTTTATATATTTTGAAGTAAGATGTAATTTGGAGTTTGATTTGTTTGTTATTTAATTTATTTTAATTTTGATTTTGATATTGATTTTAATTTTGATTTTGATTTTGATTTTAATTTTGATTTTGATTTTGATTTTGATTTTAATTTTGATTTTGATTTTAATTTTGATTTTAATTTTGATTTTGATTTTGATTTTGATTTTGATTTTGATTTTGATTTTAATTTTGATTTTGATTTTAATTTTAATTTTGATTTTGATTTTGATTTTAATTTTGATTTTAATTTTAATTTTAATTTTGATTTTGATTTTGATTTTAATTTTGATTTTGATTTTAATTTTGATTTTAATTTTGATTTTGATTTTAATTTTAATTTTAATTTTAATTTGATTTTGATTTTGATTTTGATTTTGATTTTGATTTTGATTTTGATTTTAATTTTAATTTTGGCTTTAGTTTTATATTCTATTGCAGCGTTTTCTTTTCCTCCAATTAATTTATTGCTAATTTATTAATGTAAATTAATGCGACTTAATTTGATTTTTTAGCCAACATCTTGTATTCTAATTTTGTATCCAATTATTGATATTTATTTTTTTTTCTTAAAGAATGCGGTGCTCGCCTGTAATCGATTGTAACATTTTACTGTTATCTTAATTAAATGTTTGTTATTTAATGTAAGAATGTATACAATTGTTGGTGGGCCAATAAAGATAAATAAATAAATAAATACCGGGCACATTTCCAAACTCCGTGTTTCTAGAGGTACACTACTACTGAGATTATAAAAAACCCAGTAATACTTTGCGCGACCCGGGAATCGTCCCCGAGACCCCTTGCCTGGCAGTTGCACTTGAGACGACTCGGCCAACGAAGCAGTCAAATAAAAAAAGTATAAGTCAAAATAAAAGTAAAATTCTAGTTTACCTTTGTATTTTTCTACAAAATTATATGGCCTTTGTAGTATAAAGCGCAGTATCAGTGTGGACATTGGCTAAAATACCGGGAATTTAAAATTCGATTTCCATGCAGATGCGGGCTCAGAGGAATAACAAAACGCACGGCGAGTGCTAACTTTACGTTTAATTGTAATAAAGAAAAAATATATGGATTTTGTGTTACAAAAACTGTTATGTACTTTATTTTTCGGAAATATATTTTCTTTACGTCTGTTGTTCTTTAAAAGGAGTAAGCAGAAATGTATATATGTTAGCAGGTTACCTAGTTCACCAACTAGGCTTTGCTTTAGGGTAGATTGGGAATCGAATATAAAAAATTCTATAAAAATAAAATTGGCATTTTTAATTAATGTAATTTAGAAAACCATAATTATGTTGTTAATTATTATAATAATAATAATCCCTGGTTCAAATTTTATACCGATGTCTTCAGCCTCTTAGACGTTAAGGAGCAAGAAACTAACAAACATATTCACATTTTATAATACTAGTAGGATAACACAACTGCCGATATTTCATAGTAATATCCGTTCCTCATTTCGTTCAATCATTCATTCATCGTGAACCCTGATGAAATAGGCATATTAATTTCTTTTACACGTATTTTAACTTATTTTCCTAAAGTATATATGCAAGGTATACTAAAAAGACTTGTGAAAATGAGATAATTATTGGAAAACTCATGTCATTGGAAAAAAATAAAAACTAAATAAAACAACATTTTGTTCGGTTCAAAAATCGATTTCGAGACTTTTCAATCGATATCATTCGATTGAGACCATTTTAAAACAACACATTTACATTACGTTCTTAAGTATAAATCCCAGCACATCAAGCTACGTTAAACTGTATTTTCGACTTTATAACTTAAGAATAGGGTTGAAATATGATCTGAGCTAGTATGTCGCCACGCTGTCTGTACCAGCAAGCACCCTATCTCAACACGTTTGGCACTTACCACGCGTTGATACCTAACTCTATATAGCACAATACTATTTTTTTCATCTCAAAAACCATTAAATTTAATACAGTTTGCCAAGACTTGCAAGTAAATTTTCAGTAGTTTTTTTAAAGTGAGTGATCTTTATGATATGGCTTTTTTACATACTCTTTTAGTTTTTATTGGCAATAGTATCTTGCGGGCATTTATCAGTATCGGTACCTACGTAAATGTTAAAATACACGATTTTCTCAATATTTTCTGTTCTAAAGATGTCTTATTCTGCCTCATTGCCTTATTGGCCGAGTGGTCGCCAGTACTGCCGGGTAAGGAGTCTCGGGTTCGATTCCCGGGTCGGGAAAAGTATTACAGGGTTTTTGAAAAAACCTCAGTTGTAGCACGAAGTCTGAAAATATGCCCGGTATGGGACTCATAATATAAATAGTGAAAAGTAGGTGTTATATTGTACAGTGACATTAAGTGCCGCACCTATCCCTTCAGGGATAAAAGGCGTGATGTTATGTTACATATGTCTTGTTAGCTCAGTTAAGCTATTTAGCAGAAATAAAATTATGATAATATGAAATATTAAATGCAATTTCTCTTTTTTGTGGGATAGGGAGCAAACGGGCGGACGTATTAACTGATGGTAAAGTCGTTGCTCCGCCTATTCCGATATCAACATCTCTACAAATGCGAGTCTTGGTCTTAATTATTCTTAGTTTTATCAAACAATTCATATTTTAAACATACACGACACTAAAAGACAAACAAAGCTAGGGTTGTCTCAATCATATAAATTCCAACAATGGTCTTCCACGTCACATTCACGTCGCTAAGCCAGCGCCACTCGAGTCACGACAACCCTCGTGCCGAGTGCCCTCGCGTCTAGCACTCAATACTTTCGAACTAACACGCTGTTTGTTGACCATACCGACTCTTTATCATAGAACCACTATTGTGACTGTTATGACTTATTAGGTGGACAATGTTTTTGTAGCTAGCAGTCGCAACATAGTCGTGGTGGCCCGGAGGTTTAAGACGCCCACTTCTCATGTATGAGGGTGCGGGTTCGAAACCTACCAACGGCAAGTACCAATCTGACTTTTTCCGAGTTATATGTACTTTCTAAGATTATTTAGACACCACTGACAAACGGTGAAGGAAAAACATCGTGAGGAAACCTGGACTTATAATTTCTAATTATAAGTTTGAAATCGCCAACCCGCATTGAGCAAGCGTGGTGATTTAATGCTCTAACCTTCTCCGTGTGAGAAGAGGCTTTGCTCAGCAGTGGGCATTTATAGGCTGTTGATGATGATGATGATGAGTCGCAACATACTGCAATTTGGCACATGGTATGTAAGTTAGGGAGATATAGAGTTTGTTGTGATGGACATCTAGTTGTATGAATTAATGTTTAGCAGTTTTTCATAGAACGTTTTAGTCTCTTGTCTTTCCATTTTATCTGAAGTAACTTAAGATCTAAAATTCTTCATTTTGTGTCTGTGTGCAAAGAGGAATCGTCGGTAATAAGAATTAATATCAGTAAGTGTAAACACTCACGTGCATAAGAGAAGGGTAGTCCATCCGACCATCGGAACTCGCCTTCATGGACGGCATCAGTCGCTCCGATCCAGTACACGTCATCTACTCCAGCACCGGGACTGCGGACAATATATCAACATTAAGTATATGGTTCTAATAATAAAAAAACTAACGAGTGACATTTACTCACTGGCGATATAATACTTACGCATGTATAAGTAGTTGGTCCATAATTTGCTGTTGTCTCTCATTCAGCACACTGGCGAGGTGTCCTCCCAGCCTCACACACTCTGCTTCCGCTTGTCTCCATGCCTTCTTCGCCTCTCGCACCGCTGATATGCAGAAATCCCCAGACAGCACCCACCCATAGTCACAATGCCCCACGATGTTCTCTATGGCTTTGTCCATCCACCACACTTTCAACCACATGGCTGATGTATTCTTCTTTGCAGTTATACTAATATTCAAACGCACTGAATTTCCTTCAGACACAATCTGAACACTTCTCAAAGGGTCACCAGGCTGGGAGCAATGCTTCCACTTAGAATCTCCGTCTTCTAAACTTAATTCCATCCCTCTACACAACGCTTGCACGTCTTCATGTATTATATTGGACACGTCGTTTTCTTTCGCATCCATTGGTCCTGTGCCCATTTGTAGCCGCAGAGCGACACGGTTGCCGTATGGCAGGTGGATCTCATACGAACATGACAGTTTGATTGTCGGGCCGACTTCGAACGAGCCGTTTCTTCCCGTAAGTAGAACATCATGGCAATGGTCTACTAGACGGTATACCGCGGCGAACGTGGGCCGGCCGTGTAGTTCTATGGCGGGGTTCTTAAATGATGAGGTGTAGAGGAACTTTCTGTTGGGAAGCGGTATTTGGTCCAGTTTGCCGCACAGGGTGGGAGTGTTAGGAGCGAAGCGGATGAACCCAGTGGAGCAGGGCACATTGAGCTTATGGAGCTCGATGAGGACGGCACTGCGCGGGCCCGGCGCCGGCACCAGCACGCGGCAGCCGTGCGTGCGCGGCACGTGACCCGAGTGCACGCGACCCGCGCGTACATTTCTTAGGCGTATCGCACAATCTGGAACAAGAAAGAATAGCATTAATAAGAGCCACTAATTTTAAATCCTAAATATTATTTTAAACAATTAAACCCAAATTTTGTCTTCCGACAATAGTATTTGAGTCTGTGCCTGAGTCGTTCAACTGTCGAATATATTTTGATCGGACCGATTCACGAGATGTTACAAACCTATAAATAAAACGGAAATGATAATGGAAGTGATTTCTATTTGAAAACGATCAATACTATTCCTACTTCAATGGAAAATGGACTGAAAATTATTCAGTTGATTTAAATTCAAACGATTTTAGACGATCTTGATAGCGGACGATATTATTGCAGGAAACTGAATATTATCGGTTACTTCATCCGTTCCAGTTTTAAATTTAAATATCTGATAAGTTAGTGGAGCTATCTTTCAATGTTTTTTTTTTGTTTTCACTATTTTATTGTTTTTGATGGTTAATGATTCTCGAAACGAAAGTGTTTTATTTTGTTATTATGTTTTACCAAGTAAAGGTTTTTTTGATAACTCTGTACTTTATTAACTAAAAACCGCGCACGTTGCTTATGAGGAAGAACCCCTCTGCGGTTCGAAACTAGTAGATCTTTTCTCAGTATATGCACGTGAGTAACCCGCGATTTTTAGTTAATTTAGTATGTCTCATGATAGTTATTTAGATAGTTATTATAAAAATAACTCTGTAGTTTAGTATCGGTCATGCCATTGATTCAGCATTTTAACATGTGGGGATGCATAGGTACATTGTTATCGCCTATATATGAAATGATATAATAAACGTATACCAGTTGGCACTCAGACAGCGCACGTTTCATTTCTCTCTCAACACACATGTAACTCTACACTGGTGACCCCGACTACTCATAATTCCCAGTAACGTAGGCGACACATAACGCTCCTATACGACGCGCATCTACTACCACGTGTGCACTAAATTCAAGAAAAATGAATACACAATTTGGACAAACGCCACAGCAGCCAACTCCAGCGCCTATAATACCGAAAACAGAAGAATCAACCGCCATAATTTCGTCGTTAACTGTCGCAAGTAAGATCCCGGAATTTTGGCCAGAAAATCCCCGATTATGGTTTTTACAAGTCGAAGCCATATTAGCACCTCAAAAAACCTCGGACGCCAACAAATACTTCATGGTTGTGGCAAAACTCAGTAAGGAGGTAATCCAGCAAGTTGCGGACATAGTTGCGAGTCCCCCGGAATGCAACAAGTTTGAAGCCCTCAAAAATCGACTATTGCAAATTTACGAAGAATCCGAAACGAGACAAATTCAAAAACTGATATCTGAAATAGAACTAGGAGACCAAAAACCCAGTCAACTGCTACGAAAAATGAAGGAGCTAGCAAGAGGTAAAATAGAAGCAGACACACTAAAAATATTATGGCAAGGACACCTGCCTGCACCTGTAAGAGCAGTCCTCACAGTGACGTCAGCGAAAGATTTGGAAGAACTAGCCGTCATAGCAGACAAAGTAATGGAGACCCACCAAACTGTACAGGTCAGCGAAATAGCCCGCAGCAACCAAGAAAGTTCAACAGCTTTCGATATAGCCACAATCAAGGCAGAAATAGCGAAAATAAACCTAAAGATAGCGGAAATGGACAGAGGAAGAAGAAGGCATCGAAGCAGGAGCGGATACAGAAACTCTGCGCAGTCACGTTCTCGATCAAGGCCACGAAGAACGCCCGAAAGTCCAAACTGGTTGTGCCCGTATCACTTCAAGTTCAGGAGCAGAGCTACGAAATGCGTAGCGCCCTGCAACTGGAAGACGAAGACAGCACCAACCAATCCGGAAAACTGAGAAGACTACAACCGGTAGCGGGAGGTTGTGCAGTCAAGGACCACCGCCTTATCGTAAGTGACCAAAAATCTAATATCAGATTTCTCATAGATTCTGGTGCATGTATATCTGTAATTCCTAAATACATAGTTAAGAATAAAATAGAATTAGATTATAATTGTGATTTTAAGCTATATGCCGCAAACGGGTCAGTAATAAAAACGTATGTACTAAGACATTAACATTAGATTTAAAATTGCGCAGACCTTTCATGGACATTTGTAGTATGCAATGTCAAACAACCTATACTCGGTGTAGATTTCTTAACCATCACAAGCTAATTGTAGACATTAGTGGTCGTTGTTTATTAGACAAAACAACCAATCTGGCAATCAAAGGAACGATCGTAAACCATTATGTGTCAGCAATATCAACATTACGAAGTGATCATCCCATATATAATATTTTAACTAAATATCCAGAGATTCTCAAACCTATGTCATTTAAAGAGGCTCCGAAGCACTCTGTTTATCATTATATCGACACAACAGGTCCTCCTGTTCACTGCAAACCTAGACCATTAGCTCCCGAGCGATATCGAATAGCTAAGGAAGAATTTAGAACTATGTTAGAGGCAGGTATATGCAGACCGTCTAAATCAGCCTGGGCTAGTCCCTTACACTTAGTGCCCAAAAAAGATGGACAGTTCCGTCCATGTGGAGATTACCGTGCACTTAATGCAGTTACAAAACCGAATAGGTATCCGATACCCCGCGTACAAGATTTTACATATTTTTTAGCAGGAAAAACAGTGTTCTCGAAAATTGATATAAAAAAAGCCTATCATAATGTATTGATTAATCCGGACGATATTTGTAAGACCGCCATTACTACACCATTCGGATTATATGAATTTGAACGCATGACCTTTGGGTTGAGAAACGCTGCTCAAACCTTCCAACGCTTCATGACTAACACAGTCTTATCAGGCTTAGACTTCGTATACTGTTACGCGGACGATATTTTAGTGAGTTCTGTAGACAGCAAACTTCATTCCGAACAATTAGAACAAATATTTCAACGGTTAAGCGAGTATGGTATCACAATTAATTTAGAAAAATGTATGTTCAATGCTGCCAGTATAGAATTCTTAGGCTATAAGGTATCTACTGCTGGCATCAGACCATTAGACTCGAAAGTACAGGCAATCATTGACTACCCAAAACCGCAAAACATCAGCCAGCTGCGTAAATTTTTAGGCATGATCAATTTTTACAGAAATCACCTGCCTAGAGCAATAGAATACTTAGACATATTAAATAAATACATTCACAAGGCTAAAAAAAACGATAAGACAATAATACAGTGGACACCGGATGCTGAACAAGCGTTCTTACAATGCAAAGATAGTCTTACGAAAGCAGTCACGTTGACATTCCCGGTAACCAACGTGCCGTATGCGATTTTTGCCGACGCATCGAATAACTGCGTGGGAGCCGTGTTGCAACAATATATCGATAAGGAATGGCACCCATTAGGCTACTTTTCTAGAAAATTAACCGAAACACAAAAGAAATATAGCACCTATGACAGGGAATTGCTTGCTATATTTTTAGCCGTAGAACATTTTAGAAATTTATTTGAAGGACATGACTTAATAATCTTCACAGATCACAAACCCCTGACATTTGCATTTTCTAAATTAACTAAAAACAACAATAAAGAGAGCCCAAGGCGCATTAGACAATTACTATTTATAAGCGAATTTACAACAAATATTCGCCATGTGAGTGGGCAAGATAACGTTGTCGCGGACGCGTTATCACGTATAGACAGTATTAAGTGTACATCGAGTTTCATCGACTTTGAAAAATTAGCCTTAGAGCAAAGCCAAGACACAGACCTTAAGACCTTATTAATAGATGCTAAACATAAATTTAAAAAGTTCATTGTTCCTGGTACTAATCAATCAATTTTTTGTGAAATTTCAAATGAAAATGCAAGGCCTTATTTAACGAAAAATTTTAGAAAACAAGCATTCCACATGATACACAATCTTAGTCATCCTGGCACGCGTACTTCGCGCCAGATGATTAAAGAAAAATTTTTTTGGCCAAATATGAATCGAGACATAGGAGTGTGGACAAAGACATGTATAGCCTGTCAAAAGTCCAAAGTAAACAGGCATATCATTTCAAATTACGGTAAGTATCCACCAGTTGACAGATTCGATCATATCCATATTGATTTAATTGGACCTCTTCCAATCACATCAGATGAATATAGATATTGTCTAACGATAATAGACAGAGGTACTAGCTGGCCTGAGGCTTATCCACTTAAGGAGATATCAGCGGAAACGGTAGCGCATAAATTATATACAGAGTGGATATGTAGGTTTGGCTGCCCTGCAAAACTCACAAGTGACCAGGGAGACAATTCGAAAGCAGAGTATTCGCAATACTAATGTCATACCTAGGGGTACAAAAATAAGAACAACGCCATACCATCCACAGAGCAACGGAGTCGTAGAAAGATGGCATAGGTGCGTTAAAGCTTCATTAATGGCACGATTAAATAATAATAAAAACTGGATACACGAATTACCTTGCGTAATGTTAGGCCTTCGTGCAGCCATTAAATCAGAATCAGGAGTCAGTGCAGCACAGATGGTATACGGCCGCTCTTTAAGACTGCCAGGTGAATTTTTTGTCGAAACAAGTAATGACTTAGACCCTTATACTATTGTCCAGAACATTAGGAATAACATACAACGATGTAAACCTGTAGACATGAAATCTAACAATTCCACATCTTTTTTTGTTCATCCTGATATCAAAAAATGCACACACGTATTTTTAAGAGTAGACAAAGTAAAAAAGCCTCTAATATGTCCATACGAAGGTCCCTATGAAATATTAGAAAGATCAGAAAAAGTGTATAAGATACAATTAGAAAATAGAACATTATCTGTTTCAATTGACAGGTTAAAACCTGCTTATTTATTAAAAGAAAAAGAAACTATTCATACGAATGGAGATAAGAAAGAAACGCGTAGTGGTAGAATTAGCAAGAAACCTGTAAGATTCTTGTAAAACGGAACATTCATAAAAAAAAGTGTAATTAATAAGTGAACATTGGTAATGTACGTAGTATATGATAAATGTTGACTAGACTTTATAATAGCACTAGTGTTAAT